GTGTGTGTGTGTGTGTGTGTGTGTGTGTGTGTGTGTGTGTGTGAAGTTTCAGCTCACAGACAGCAGCAGGCTGTGCAGCTGTTGCCATGGCGACGTGGGTTCAGGTGAACGTGGTACTGATGGAGGAGCGGGTCGGGCCGGCAGCGTCTCCATCAGGGACTCTGGGACGTCTTGATGTTTACAGGAAGTAATGGTTCCTCACAGCGCCGCCCCCACTGCTAATGTAGGAGGTTCTGGTTCTGACTGGACCCGTCCTGCTGGACACAGGGGACACATTTGTCTTCTGTGTCCAGAAAAATTAATCTAACTCCTGACAGAGGCGGGCTCTTATTCTGAAGAGTATTTCAGCTTTATTTTGAAACTCCAGGTTGAAGCCTGTCCCTGACTGAACCTCCTGAACCTCAGAGGTCAGACATGGAGGGTGGACGAGGGCGGCCATGATGGAAAGTGCTGAGTCAGTGTTTGTGATGTGACGAGGGGCAGCACAGCACAGGGTCAGGCAGAACCACAGAGTAAAAAGTAAGCCTGGAAGAACCTCTCTTCATCTCGTTTCTTCTCAGATTGAAGTGGAGCTGATGTTTCTGTCTTAATGAGGACTCTTTAATAATTCATGTCAGAGCTGGAGGCGTGTGTTTCTGCAGTCACCAGGGATTTATTCTTATTTATTGTTTTAGCTGAAACCACAAACACTTTGACCTGTTTTTTTATTACGTTTGTCTTTTTTTGTCCTTTTTGTCTGAAGAGCTGCTGACCTCAGCCCTGCACCAATCTCTGCTGACAACAGTCAGGTTAATACTTCCTGAGAACAGCTGCTTCGTCCTTTTGTCTCATTAAATCTCAGGTTTTCTTACAGTAAATTTATCTTCAGTCAGTTTGATCTTCCAGAGATTAGACCGAGCCGTGTTTCCAGCCTGTTCGTCCTGGAGTTGCTCCGCCCTAAAGGTCAAGCTTTCCTCTGATTGGCTGATGTAAAGCTTGTTAAAAATTATTGATGTTTGATTCCCTGAGTTTGTATTAATGTTGTGCCCCCCCCCCCCCACACACACACACACACACACACATTGTGGGTCGCTCACACTAACACACCCTCTGACTTCTGATGACATCATCCATCAGTCGGACACTCTGGACTGGACCCTGCAGCACATCAGTCCTGATGTGAGCAGATGATGTGTTCAGGAGCCGTGGGAGAAAGCAGCGCCGCAGCAGGAGTGAAGGATGAGCGGTGCAGCGGGCCGGGCTCGTTAACAGTCACACCTCATTAAGACCCAACTTCATCAGAACACAGCCCGTCTCACAGCCACACAAATGTTGGGTCGGCTTAATGACAACAGAAACAAGACGTCAGGACCCGGGACCAACAGGACTCTGCAAGTCCAGTCTGGAAAGGAACCTTCTGCAATCCTGATCTGTGTCTTCATGACCGCTGATGCAGGTTTAGATCTGTGGTGTCCCAGAACCACGGCCCAACACACAGTACCACTGATTAGACCTTTATGAACCAGGTCCTGGTCCTGAACCTGGTCCTTACCCTGATGTTGAACATGGTTCTGATCAGGGAGCTGACCCTGGTGCTGGACCATGTTTGTTTGTCTGTTGGTTTGTTTGTTTTGTTGGTTTGTTTGTTGGTTGGTTGGTTTGTTGGTTTGTTAGTTTGTTGGTTGGTTGGTTGGTTGGTTGGTTGGTTGGTTTGTTAGTTTGTTGGTTGGTTTGTTGGTTGGTTTGTTTGTTTGGTTTGTTTGTTTGTTGGTTTGTTGGTTTGTTGGTTGGTTGGTTGGTTTGTTTGTTGGTTGGTTGATTTGTTGGTTGGTTGGTTGGTTGGTTGGTTGGTTGGTTGGTTGGTTGGTTGGTTTGTTGGTTGGTTTGTTGGTTGATTTGTTGGTTTGTTTGGTTTGTTGGTTTGTTTGTTGGTTTTTTGGTTGGTTGATTTGTTGGTTTGTTTGTTTGTTGGTTTTTTGGTTGGTTGGTTTGTTGGTTTGTTTGTTTGTTGGTTTTTTGGTTGGTTGGTTTGTTTGTTGGTTGGTTGGTTTGTTGGTTGGTTTGTTTGTTGGTTGGTTGATTTGTTGGTTGGTTTGTTGGTTTGTTTGCTGGTTAGTTGGTTTGTTGGTTTGTTGGTTGGTTGATTTGTTGGTTGGTTTGTTGGTTTGTTTTCTGGTTTGTTGGTTGGTTGGTTTGTTTGTTGGTTGGTTGGTTTGTTTGCTGGTTTGTTGGTTGGTTGATTTGTTGGTTGGTTTGTTGGTTTGTTTGTTGGTTTGTTGGTTTGTTGGTTGGTTGATTTGTTGGTTGGTTTGTTGGTTGGTTGGTTTGCTGGTTTGTTTGTTGGTTTGTTGGTTGGTTGGTTGATTTGTTGGTTGATTTGTTGGTTGGTTTGTTGGTTGGTTTGTTGGTTGGTTTGTTTGCTGGTTGGTTGGTTGGTTGGTTGGTTGGTTTGTTGGTTGGTTGGTTTGTTGGTTGGTTGGTTGGTTGATTTGTTGGTTGATTTGTTGGTTGGTTTGTTTGTTGGTTTGTTTGCTCGTTAGTTGGTTGGTTGGTTGATTTGTTGGTTGGTTTGTTGGTTGGTTTGTTGGTTGGTTGGTTTGCTGGTTTGTTTGTTGGTTTGTTGGTTGGTTTGTTGGTTGGTTGGTTTGTTTGCTGGTTTGTTGGTTGGTTGATTTGTTGGTTGGTTTTTTTGTTGGTTTGTTGGTTGGTTGGTTTGTTTGTTGGTTGGTTTGTTTGTTGGTTGGTTTGTTTGTTGGTTTTAACAAGAACAAAACAAAAACTTTGTTTTTAAATCTGATGTCCCCGTGTGGACCAGACCTGAGTCTCTGGTGGTTCTGGTCCCTCAGACAGAACCAGTCTGATCGGATCAGAATGAAAACATTTACAGATGTTTGCTCTGCTGCTTTTTGTCTTTTCATTAATCTTCTGCAGCATTTGTCTCCACAAGATAAGGGCTGCCGTGTCTCAGCGAGGACACGTCCCTCGTCCCGAGGTGACCGGACCGAGCCTCAAACACTCGGAGCAGAATCAGCCGACACGTCTCAGGAGCTTTCAGCTGTTTGTGTGACAAACTGTAGCTTCAGCTTCATGTGGCCTTTCCTCTCACTGCTGGGATTAGTGTGTGTGTGCGTGCGTGCGTGCGTGCATGCGTGTGTGTGTGTGTGTGTCCTTGTCAGGTGTATCTGAACATCTCAGAATATTTGCTGTAGAACAGAAACATGGAGACGTTCAGTTCTGGGTCTTTAACATAAAAAATCTTATAAATATTTAAAGATTTTGTTTGAGGTTGTCAAAATGACCTCGTGGACATGAGGACAAGGGGACGAGCATGTCTTCACATCTGGAATCGGTCTCATCTGTTCAGGGTCTTCCTGTGAATGTGACACAAAGCAAACAGCTGGATGAGCTCTGCAGCCTCACAGAAACAAACCTTCAGACTTTTTATCCACTTTGTCTTCAGTGGTTCTGGACCACAGATGGGAAACAGCCTGAGGCTGAATCTGCTACAGTTCTCTTGTCTTCTGAGGATCCACTTCCTGTTCATGATCCTGACAAACAAACAGAATTACAGGAACTCTGTGCAGCAGAGCAGGAAGTGATGAAGCCTAAAGAGCAGCAGATTAGTTCCATGCAGCAGCTTCACGTTTGTTCCATCTGTGAGTTTACTCATCACACCTCAGCTGCACGCTCCCACCCAACACTGCAGCTGATTATCAGTGTGCAATCAACTGTGGACGTCCCAAATTACTGACTGATGTTCAGCGACAAACACAATCCAGATCTGAGTACAGGCCTGCAGCATCATGAGGGACACAACCAGCTGGGACAGATAAACACTACCTGCCAAATACTGATCCATCAACACAAACAGACTGTAAACAGATAAACACCACCTGCCAAATACTGATCCATCAATACAAACAGACTGTAAACAGATAAACAAAGGAGTGTAAACAGACTGTAAACAGTTTGTAAACAGAGTGAGGAGCCAACATGTCTGTGGGCCATGTGTTGTGTGTTTTTTGTCTGTTTCCTCTTCATGAGGTTCAACATTGAAGACGTTCAGGAACAAACGTCAGTTTCTTGTTCAGATTTTGAGAACAATCTTTGTTATTTGGGGAATAAATCCAGTCACAACACAAACTGTCAGAAGAGATGCTGTTTATTTACACCACGTTAAACTGATAATCTGTTGTTTGTCATTAAGTTCAGGATTCATCCTTGGTCCACACATCTGGTTCTGACAGCTCAAAGTGCAAATGAAGCTGCAGTTACTGAGCAGCTGCAGCTCATGAATAAAAGCCCAGGAAGCAGCATCACTGCTCACTTTGTGATGTTTCATCTGTATTTGTGGGTTTCTGTTCAAACAGCCAGCTGCAGGTGTGTCTCAGGTGTCCAGGACCTGCACATGTTCTGATGGGTTCTGCTCAGAACTGATCACTGATCTGACTGTTTGTGTGGAGTCAGATTCATGTTGATGATTCTCAGAGAGAAACATCATTAGAGTTTCACTCTCTCATCCTGACGCCTGACATGGATTTTTATTCTTCTGTTGAACGTGTGATGATGTGTTTATCATATCTGCTGCTGTCGGCGTTATGTTGATGTGTTACAGCGACAATAAAACACATCACACACAATAATGTGCAGCAGCACATCAGCCTGACGTCTTCTGCTGCTTATTGCTCTTTAATATTTCTCAGGAAACAGTTGATTTATTGATGCTCCGCTGAAGATCATCTTCATCTTCCCTCCTCAGACGTGAGCTGCACGGCTGCCGTCACGCCGAGCCTCCACCTCTGACCCTGTCCTCCGGCCCGTCTCACATCAGGACCGAGGACGGGGCGTGGACTCAGCTGCCGTCTGTCCGCTGGCTCAGAGGGACCCTCTGCAGTGTGAGTGAGCAGGAAGGAGACGTGGAAGTCCTGACAAAATAAAAGCTTTTTATAAGACTTCAAACTAAAAGCATCAAACAGAAAAGCAAAGTGAAAATAAATCAGTTAATGTTTGAACATTTGAACCAGTTTTCTTCACACATGCAGGGGTGGAGCCAGGGGGGAGGAGCCGGGGGGGCCATGCCCCCCCCCCACTCAGAGAATAAGCTATCCACCCCAGTGCCCCCCCCACACCCCCAGTTTTATCCTCTTGATATCCAGGTTTTTCCATTTTCAATTCCCCTAACTATTTAGGATTAGAACCTCATAAATATAAAAACAAACATTGATTTTTTTAACAATTAAGAGTTAAAAACATTAATTTATATTTTATTTAAAATTAAAATTAA